TATATATATTTATTTATTTATTATTATTATTATTATTATTTTTATTATTATTATAATAATAATAAAATGTTCCGTTTTAATTTTAAATAGTTTTGCATTATGTGGCCGTTTGCTGTTTTATTATAGTTAAGACTACACTGTCGGTAGATAAAAATCGGATTTTCTCTACTGTTCCGTTTTAATTTTAAATAATTTTGCATTATGTGGCCGTTTTCTGTTTTATGGGTTTTTCCCATTTGCCTTTTAAAATTTATATATTATTAAAGAATCTCTATTGAGATCCAGCGGGCCGCCACTGATGCACGGTAGAGATTGCATCTTTTGATCTCCGATCTTGTTCACAAATTCACGGACTAGTGCTGTCTCGTAAGAATTTCGTAGGACGCTTAAAGAATGACAAAATATTCTCTGTATCTACTGGAACCGAGCCACATAGCTTGTATTCCACTATTTGCATTCACACCTGGGCTGTGTACATATATTGCCTTGGTTTGGCTCTGTAATCATTATTTAATTAAATATTAAGCCTACTGTATATCATTCTACTTTTTTACCTCATTTATTTTCTTTTATTCCTTAAAACAGTAAAACAACAACAATAATAATAATAATAACAATAATAATAATAATAATAATAATAATAATAATAATAATAATAATAAAAAACAGCACTTTATAATGCACCGTCTACCTAGCAGTGATTCTTTACAATAAAAAAAAGTATTTACTAACTATATTGATTTGTTGGAAAGCAAAGCACTGAGGATAATTTGCAAATTACTAGAGTCAAAAATGATTAAATATTAAACAAGTGAACAAAGACAAGGACAAAGAAAGAGGGAGGCTGAGGAGGGGCAAAAGTTGAACAAAAACTACTATGGTTCTATAATCGGAAAGGTTGTGCCCCTCCTCAACTCCAACTTCTAAAGCATTTAACATTAATAATATAAAAAATAGCTATATAGGATAGGCCTATCCTGGAGCCTAGGCCTATCCTGGAGCCTAGGCCTATATAAAAAAAAAAGAAAATGGTTATTCGCAAGCCGTGCAAACAACTCCAAAACGGTTATTCGCACAGCCTGCCATGCGGCCAACTCCAAAACAATTGTTCGCGCGGTAGCTGGTCGTGCTAATAACTAAAAAAACGGTTATACGCACGGCTGGCCGAACGAAAAACTGCAAAACGGTTATTCGCACGGCGTGCATATTTTTAATAAGTAAATAAATAAGAAAAAGATAGATAAAAAATAAACACTGTAATATATTTATATTTACTTTATTCCTTTATATGTTACATATATTTTTTATATATTTATTTATATATTTTTATATTTATTTATATATTAGAATATTTATTTATATACTTGTTTATTTATTTATATATCTATATTTATATATAATAAATTATATATATAAAATAAAATAAAAATTATTATGTATATTATATATAGGGCGTATCATCATATATAATATATATAACATATATAACATATATAATATATATAATATATGTAATGTATATATTATATATCATATATATAAAATATATAATATATATATTATATATATATATATATATATATATATTATAATATATATAGATAAGTAATCAAAGACACTAGGTTACAAACTCAACATTTTATTTTGCACTACAGACTGTTTCATGAAGGCACAGCCTCAATCATCAGGTGCTCGACTCTGGTAGATAAAGTACTGGTAGATAAAGATGATAAAAACTGTTTATAAAGAATAATATTCTATGTTAATTAGTACTGGACTCTCTTTTGTTTAATAAATGGATCTGAGATAGGCTATTGTTATTTAAGTTTGGTATCTTAGTAGGAACTTTCTTCTATGTCTGCATGCACTAATTCTTTTCTTTGGTGAAGTGTACTAGCTTCCGGATTGCATATAATGTGATATTTCTCCTGTAGGCATAGGTTGCATCGTTTATTAACATTAGAGTATGGCTTGCATTTAGATAGTATTCGCCATTGTATTTATGCTTTACATTGCTGCCTTTAGTTTCCAATCATATTGGCTAAGCGTGGTACTATTTCTATATTTAACATTCCGGAATGAACAAGTAACCGCATTATACCTACTATTAAAAGATTAAAAGTATTT